TTAATTTTATAGATCTGACGTTAAGTAGCATGCAATATTAACATCCATTGATGTCATTACCATTCAAGTATCATGTTTTACTAAACTAAGTGTCAACGAATCCGAATTATTTTAAAAATTGCGGTAGGGTAGAGCGCTACTTCGTCGTAATCGTCCATTTCCGCTCTATCGAACAGAAAACATTAGTATAATCAATGATTTCACTGTGCACAAATCAGTAATACGTTTGTACCGATTCGTTAGTTCACAAGCTACAACACAAAGACTTCTAACGGCGCCGGTGGTGTAGTGGTAAGCGTGATTACCTCTCACCCCAGCAGGCCTGGGTTCAATCCCAGTCGGCGCCGCCGGGATGTTCTGAGGCATAACATCTCTGATCACGCCTTCCTTCGGATGGGAAGTAAAGCCGTTGGTCCCCGGTTCATGAGTTGATGGGTCGATAGGTAGGGTCCAGGTGTGGGAGCTGCCTTCCTGGCACGTCGGTAGCATTGGTGCTCAGCACGGAAAACAAGATCGACGGAAAAACCAAAGAAAAAAAAAAAACACAAAGACTATTAGAGCGTATTGTGTGAATATTTACACTCATTGTTCTCTAAACAAAAGAGGCGCTCCTATCAAACACGCTTTTTCTACCTTCATCCGTAAGACGAAGAAAATCCAATGGCGTTTCAATGCGTTTGGACGGAATTGAAACTCGTAGGACGAATTTGGAATCAAGAAGCAGTGTTAGATTTTTAACAATATTTCAACAATGTGTGGCTCTTTATCAAATTCAAAGGTACTCAATGAAAGAGGAATAAATTTAGAAGCCATCTTTGATAGAAACATTTCATTTATTGTTAAAACCCGTTCAAGAAGATGGGTAAAACATGGGTTATCCTAAGTAGGACGGAAATTAGATAAAAAACCCTAGTATGTTTCAAATATCAAGAAATCCAGGGTTTCTCGCAAAATTATCAGTGATTTTGAACGAAATTGCTTACATTTAGGCGCAACTGTGACATCTGGTCTAAGACATCTTTTTTTTGCGTTTCTGCTCAAAACACTTTTTACACAAGGATTTTAGCATCTGAATCGGATTCAAGGAATCCACATTTAATAAGAACAATCACTAGAAATGCAATGGGCAGCCATTTGAGGTGTTGATCAATTTCACCCCATATCGATATTTGCAAATTTAGGATTTCAAAAATTTCCTAAAAATTAACAAAACATCCAGTATTATAAGAAATCATGCAGGACAATTGAGCGCTCATAGCTACTGATTTAAATACCATTAGTTTTTTAATTTAGTTTATTGTATAAATTTATTTATTTACGTTAAATAGTGATCAATTTATCCTCGGATTACGGTATTCAAAAGTTTTCCAGCTAATTGAATCTGATGGAATCTTGAATGATGAATCTAGATTTTATGTACATGTTTGTACATTCTCTATAGAAGACCCGTGCCTTGGTGATTTAGCTATATTGTCAAGAATTAGCACTTCAGCAACTGAATTCCGGGCTTACATTTTAACGAAGAGTGGACATTTCTTTCTTTTTCATACCCGGAGTTCAGCTGCAGGATAGTTTGAATGCCTTAGCATATAAAAGATCCGTGCTTTTTGTGTATATTTTTGATTAAATAAAGCAAGAATACGGAAAAAGCTCGCGTAAATAATTAATTGGTTCTAAATGGGTATAACCAAAACAAATATCATTAAAAAAATAAATCCCAATGCTTTTGTAAAAATAAATTCAATTATTATCTAGTTACAAACATGGACACTATCATTCAAGTTTCGAGTTCATTCCTTTCGATTAGAATTAAAGTTAAATTTTCTGAAAGTTAAATTGATCTGAATAAGTACTTTATTACTTTCTTTTCTCTTCAAATATCAGAATCATGAAAAATTATAACCAGACTTTTCAGTATGTTTCGAAATTTTTAAATCTTAATATTGAACATTTTTAAGTCCTAAATGTATGTATGTAAATGTGTGTACTTTACCATGTTTCAAATTCAAACTCCTTAATTGATGATGAAATATTCAGAATCTAAAAAAAAAGAAGATTGAGATGCTTAAATTTATGAGATCCGGACACTACACACTTAATCTATCTCGGTAAAATCTCCAACTGCCGATTACCTCGGCATTTACTTTTGCTGATATCTCTGCAACATATCTGTTTGTTAGCTGACATCTCAGCAAAATGTAATTTGAATCTCAGCAAAATAAATTGCAGTACTGCTCGACTGTTGGAATCACGGCGAAAAAATTTAAGTGCAAATGTGATTTCATTACAAAAAAGCATGAACAAATGATCATTGATTGTTCAAATTGAGTAAGTTTTTAATGCTCCCCCAATTGAGGTACCAATCATTGCTATAAAATAAATAAGTTAAGTACAGCACTTTCCTGAAATCATTCCAGAACCCAATTACAAGCAATTCAACAATTCCGAGACACAGCAACGACACTATCGACAGGCACTTCAGTCGATATCAGCAATAATAAGACACAACAACAACAACAACAACAACAACAACAACAACAACAACAACAACAACAACAACAACAACAACAACAACAACAACAACAACAACAACAACAACAACAACAACAACAACAACAACAACAACAACAACAACAACAACAACAACAACAACAACAACAACAACAACAACAACAACAACAACAACAACAACAACAACAACAACAACAACAACAACAACAACAACAACAACAACAACAACAACAACAACAACAACAACAACAACAACAACAACAACAACAACAACAACAACAACAACAACAACAACAACAACAACAACAACAACAACAACAACAACAACAACAACAACAACAACAACAACAACAACAACAACAACAACAACAACAACAACAACAACAACAACAACAACAACAACAACAACAACAACAACAACAACAACAACAACAACAACAACAACAACAACAACAACAACAACAACAACAACAACAACAACAACAACAACAACAACAACAACAACAACAACAACAACAACAACAACAACAACAACAACAACAACAACAACAACAACAACAACAACAACAACAACAACAACAACAACAACAACAACAACAACAACAACAACAACAACAACAACAACAACAACAACAACAACAACAACAACAACAACAACAACAACAACAACAACAACAACAACAACAACAACAACAACAACAACAACAACAACAACAACAACAACAACAACAACAACAACAACAACAACAACAACAACAACAACAACAACAACAACAACAACAACAACAACAACAACAACAACAACAACAACAACAACAACAACAACAACAACAACAACAACAACAACAACAACAACAACAACAACAACAACAACAACAACAACAACAACAACAACAACAACAACAACAACAACAACAACAACAACAACAACAACAACAACAACAACAACAACAACAACAACAACAACAACAACAACAACAACAACAACAACAACAACAACAACAACAACAACAACAACAACAACAACAACAACAACAACAACAACAACAACAACAACAACAACAACAACAACAACAACAACAACAACAACAACAACAACAACAACAACAACAACAACAACAACAACAACAACAACAACAACAACAACAACAACAACAACAACAACAACAACAACAACAACAACAACAACAACAACAACAACAACAACAACAACAACAACAACAACAACAACAACAACAACAACAACAACAACAACAACAACAACAACAACAACAACAACAACAACAACAACAACAACAACAACAACAACAACAACAACAACAACAACAACAACAACAACAACAACAACAACAACAACAACAACAACAACAACAACAACAACAACAACAACAACAACAACAACAACAACAACAACAACTAAGAGATGAACTAGCCCCAGGCTAAAAATCTCTATAATAAAGACTAAAAAAAAAAAAAAAAAAAACAACAACAACAACAACAACAACAACAACAACAACAACAACAACAACAACAACAACAACAACAACAACAACAACAACAACAACAACAACAACAACAACAACAACAACAACAACAACAACAACAACAACAACAACAACAACAACAACAACAACAACAACAACAACAACAACAACAACAACAACAACAACAACAACAACAACAACAACAACAACAACAACAACAACAACAACAACAACAACAACAACAACAACAACAACAACAACAACAACAACAACAACAACAACAACAACAACAACAACAACAACAACAACAACAACAACAACAACAACAACAACAACAACAACAACAACAACAACAACAACAACAACAACAACAACAACAACAACAACAACAACAACAACAACAACAACAACAACAACAACAACAACAACAACAACAACAACAACAACAACAACAACAACAACAACAACAACAACAACAACAACAACAACAACAACAACAACAACAACAACAACAACAACAACAACAACAACAACAACAACAACAACAACAACAACAACAACAACAACAACAACAACAACAACAACAACAACAACAACAACAACAACAACAACAACAACAACAACAACAACAACAACAACAACAACAACAACAACAACAACAACAACAACAACAACAACAACAACAACAACAACAACAACAACAACAACAACAACAACAACAACAACAACAACAACAACAACAACAACAACAACAACAACAACAACAACAACAACAACAACAACAACAACAACAACAACAACAACAACAACAACAACAACAACCATTCGAGTTCGGGACATCGTTGTTGTCTATAGCAACCGCGTACGCGCTCGGAATATTGTTGTGTTTTGGTGGTATTTCGCGATCGATTGATTCAAAAACGCCACCCGCAGCTAGTGGCTAGTGTTAACTAGTGACAAACATTCAAATCCGATCATTATCGGTGAAAATTTGGGTGATAATAGTGCGATAAAAGTGCAGCAGCTGCCCACTGCATCAATTGTGGTGGACCTCATCGTCCGAACAACCGTCAATGCCCGGTTTATAAGAAGGAAGTGGAAGTGATCCGTCTAAAAGTGGATCATAATCTGACGTACCCTGAAGCACGCAAGCGAGTCGAAACAGGGACAGGAAGTTACGCCGCAGCTGCAGCCCAGCAGACTGCCGACCGGAAAAAATTGGAGGAACTGGAGAAGAAAATGGAGGAGAAAGACGCCCAAATTGCTCAACTTCTTGAAGTGATGAAGAAGAAGGACGAAAAGATCGACAAATTATTGGGACACATTAAACTGATTCGAACACCGCAAGTTCAACAAACCCCGCTAGCTCAGCCGAGTAAACCGATCCATCCTTCTGAAAGTCAATCGAACCAAGCAATCGATTCGAACCTGCATTCTCAACTCATGAGAAAATCCGGAGAATCGCAGATAGGCACACCGTCGATGCATCTCAGAAGTAGATCGCCAGCGACAACGGAATCTAAACACAACAAGAAGAAGAAAAGGCATGACAGGAGCAACAACACCTCACCCGGCCGACAAAGCCCACCGCTGAAGAAGCCCGTTGAAAAAACACCGACATCCGACCAGGAAACGATAAGCGTCGACGAGGATGAGATCGAAGAGACGCCCCCTAGTCAGCATCTTCGATAAGATTCATTCCTCCAAACGTTTACCGACCAGCAATACTTACCGGACAAGCGAAACGGACAACGACATCGATCGACTTGAAGGGAGGGAAAGTGTAGTACCCCCTTCACTCTCACAGGAGAGAGCGCAGCAGGCTGGAGGATCCATCCGGGACGTCTTACCCCAACCCGTTGATGGAGAATCCCCCTCTGCGGTCGATTATGAAACATTAGAGCAACATACCACTTACCTACCTACCATAATACCACCTCGATATCACTCGCTTACATCCAATACACCCATATGGCCATTTTCCAACGAAAGCAGCCGTCGGCATGTAGTGCCAATCGAAAATCCACCGTCAGCCAACACTAGCTACCACAACATTGTGAGTGCCACCGGCACGATTATTCCTAGTAACCGGTTCAGGAATTTTTCCGCCGGTGAAGTTCGTCGTCAACAACAAAGTCGAGATTCATCTCCACCGTCAGCATTACTGCAACAGACAGTATTCCGAAATCGGTGTGGGGAGGGAGAGCGTGAAGTAACCTCCCCCCTTCCCAGGAGGGAAGTGGATGTTCAGGGGGACGAGAGTGGGACCAGTCACGAGTGTCTTGCACCCTCTGTTCCCTCCTGGAATCCGGCCGATATGTCAAGTCCAACGCGTAGACCGTCAGCATCATCTTCGTCATCAGCAACAGTCAGCAGTAGTCATCCCACGAAATGTATTGCCCTCCAGTGGAACATACGTGGTCTACGTGCCAACATCAGCGAGCTCAAATTGCTCATCAGCCAGCATGAACCGTCCGTTATAGCGCTGCAAGAGACGAAAGTGGATAATCGTGTGGTCGCGCCAGACTTTGCCGGCAAGAACTACACCCTGCTTCTTCAAACCGGTAGTCGTCGATATTGGCAGCAAGGAGTGGGCCTTGCCATCCGTGAAGGGGTTCCATTCGAGCGCATCGATATCAATTGTGATATTCAAGCCATTGCAGTTCGCATCCATCTTCCGACTCCAATGACGGTAGTGTCGATCTACATATCTCCGAACTCCCAGCAACAGTGCCAAACAGAACTAAATGATTTCTTGGAGCGTCTGCCCCCGCCAATTTTGGTACTTGGCGACTTCAATGCACACCATCCCGCCTGGGGTTCTACGGCATCGAATGCGCTTGGCCGCTACATCGCTGAAAAGACACTGACGGAGCATCTGATAATCCTGAATGACGGATCACACACGCGGGTGGATCCAGCAAACGGTTCGTTTTCTGCCATAGATCTTTCGATCTGTTCAGAGGTGCTAGCTCCCAGATTTATCTGGCGAACACTTCCGGATACCCACAGCAGCGACCACTTTCCAATCACCGTCTCTTCACCTGAATTCTCACAGATCGCCACGAAGCGAAGAAGATGGCTCTACGACCAAGCAGATTGGACATTGTTCGAACGACTGACTTCCAGCAGCATCAAACCGGATGACGAGATTGGCGTTGATGAGTTCGTAGATCGGATATTATTAGCAGCAACCGCTAGCATTCCTCGAACATCAGGACGAGTTGGTTCCAAATCGGTACCATGGTGGTGCCCGGAAGTGAAAACGACGATTAAGCAGCGTCGAAAACTTCTGAGAGCACTGAAGCGCAGCAGAATAGCAGGATCAGACACAACGAATGTTTTGAAGCAGTTCCAGGAAGCGAAGGCAGCGGCTAAGAAGGCAGTGAAGGAAGCTAAGGAACATTCGTGGGAGGACTTTGTCGGAAAAATATCACCTAGCAGCACAACGGCAGAAATGTGGCGAACGATGAACACCCTGAGAGGCAAACGACAATACAGCAAGGCGGTTATCAAGCGACCCGATGGCTACACGGAGAAAGTGGAAGAAATAGCAGAAGAACTGGCCGAGCACTACTGTGAGAGATCAGTGACCTCAAGCTATCCCCAACTGTTTCAAACAGCGAAGGAAAGAGCGGAACGGGATCGCGTGGATTTTCTTCCGGACAACGACGAGATATATAACGCGGACTTCACCCTGGATGAGCTTCTGTGGGCACTCGACAAAGGACGTAGTGTCTCTACAGGTCCTGACTCGGTAGGGTATCCGATGATCCGACGTCTACCTGTATCCGTCAAAATCGCGCTGTTGCAGCTTCTAAACAGAATCTGGCGTAGTGGCGTTTACCCTATCAGCTGGCGAACCGGAATAATAGTGCCAATTTCGAAGCCAAACTGTTCTGAATCTGGACCTGCTGCTTTCCGACCTATCACTTTGACCAACTGCATCGCAAAGGTGTTCGAACGTATCGTGAACCGCAGATTGACGACTGAGTTGGAGTCGAATGGACGACTGGATAAGAGGCAGCACGCCTTTAGAGCTGGAAGAGGCGTCGACACATACTTGGCGGAGTTGGATAGGTCATTGCCAAATCGGGACGAACACTGCTTGATTGCATCGCTTGATTTGTCGAAAGCGTACGACACCACTTGGCGGTACGGTATCTTGCGTACTCTGCGTAAGTGGCAGATGGGTGGGCGCATGTTCAACGTACTGAACAGTTTCCTCACCGACAGATCTTTCCGGGTGAACGTGGAAGAACATTTATCGGATGAAATGCCATTGGAGAACGGAGTCCCCCAAGGATCAGTGTTGTCTGTCACGTTATTCCTTATAGCGATGCAGCCGATTTTCAGAGTGGTGCCGCATACTGTTGCCGTGCTTCTCTATGCGGACGATATTTTGCTGGTGGTACGGAGGAGTAAGGAGCGTCCTCTGTATAGAGATCTACAGGCTGCAGTGAAAGCTGTCGACAAATGGGCGAAAAGCGTCGGCTTCACAATTTCCGCGACAAAATCAAAAATTTTCTACGGCAGTCCCAACGCCCGTCGAGAACCCAGCAACAATATATTCATCGACCGTACAGCTGTACCGAGGACGAATCAACTGAAAGTTGTTGGCGTCAACCTTGACCGGTCGCTGTCCTTCAAACACCATTGCAAGGTAGTCAAAAACAAGTGCGACTCTAGACTGCGGATCTTGAAGATGATCGGGGCTAAACTTCCGCGAGGGCAACGCGATTCTCTGTTGGGTATCGGATCAGCAATCGTCACGTCGCGACTTATCTACGGTATCGGGCTCGTCAGTAGAGCGAAGGATTCGGTGGTGCAGACTCTTGCACCCATCTACAACCGGATGGTCCGGTTCGCCTCAGGGGCGTACGTCACCAGTCCGATTCCAGCGATTATGGCTGAAGCAGGCACTTTGCCATTCGATTTAATGATTATGCAAGCCATAATTCGTGCTGCAATTCGTTTGATGGAGAAGGATTCCAGGAATATCGATCTTCCAGTTGTGGAACGAGCGTCCGATCGCCTGGCGACGATTGATGTAGAGCTTCCAAACATCGCTGTACGAACACGTCTAGCCAACCGAGAGTGGTATGAACCCAAGCCGCATATTGTTTGGGATGTGAAACGGAAGGCGAAAGCTGGGGACCCCCCGAATACAGTGCGTCCCATCGTGCAGGAGTTGCTGGCTAACCGGTTTAGCCGTGCTTTGGCTATTTATACGGATGGTTCTAAATGCGAGAACATAGTTGGAGCAGGTGTATTTAGTAGCAGCATTCAGCAAGCAATAGGTCTTCCGTCACAATGTAGCGTTTTTTCGGCGGAGGCCTTTGCAATCAAGTCGGCCGTCATCGCTGCAAGAGCATCAACCGAATGTGTTATAATTCTGTCTGATTCGGCCAGCTGTCTTTCGGCCATAGAGAGTGGTAGATCGCAGCATCCGTGGATCCAGGAAATCGAGCGCTTACTACGTGGACGGCCGATCCACCTTTGTTGGATCCCTGGTCATGCTGGAATTCGCGGTAACGAAGAAGCAGACCGTCTAGCCAGTGAAGCACGAAACAGTCCACCAATCAACGTTGCCGTACCAAGAATTGACTCCATCAAGAACATGAACCAAGTCAGCTATGGGAAGCACGTTGGGCACAATTGACAGATGTGAAGCTGAAGGAGGTCAAAAGGGAAACGAAGAAGTGGATCGATCAGTACAGCTCTGCCGATCAACGCATACTCACTCGTCTGCGCATTGAAGAAAACAGCTCCGCCAGCATGTGAATGCTGTGGGACCGTTGTTGACGTTCGTCACATTATTCTGCACTGCAGAAAATTTGAAGCGGCCAGGACGAAATACGGAATCGATTCCACAAGCCTTTTTACGGCGTTACGCAACGACGATGATTATGAGAAGCGGTTGCTGAAGTTTCTGCATGAAACCAAACTTTATCGGAAGCTTTGAAGGGCGAAGATAGAATGGAAAGGAAAATGCAAGATATAGGAAGAAAACGAAGCGGAGGATGAAGAACAAACAAGCGATGCAGACGAAAAATGAAGTCTGAATGGAAGAAGATGTCGGACAGGAAATGGAAGAAGATGCAGTGGAAGAATGTTACCGATGAATGTTGGAAGCAAATGAGTTCATGAAGAAGATGCTGAATGGAAATCGAAGAAGATAAAGTGAAAAAGGATGAAGACGAAGCAGAAAACGAAAGTACTACAGAAGAAAGATGCAGAAGAATGAAGATAAATATGAAGCGCAAGGAAGGAACGGAGAAATCGAAAAATAATGTGAAAAAGATATATGGAAGATCATGAAGAATGAAGATGGTGAATATATATATAGAAGAAGTAAAGAAGAAATTTATGGAGAAGAAGTGTAAACCATGAGATGAGCATGCAGACGATGAACCAGGAAACGAGCAAACGATAAGAAAGCTAAGTGAATTTTGAATTGTATCGTAAACACTAACACTCACCCTCACATCACTCTGAACACACCCACACACTGTTTACACAAAAATCAATTGAACTGACATGAATGCATCCGCAGGATGTAAAATGTCAATAATAAACAACAACAACAACAACAACAACAACAACAACAACAACAACAACAACAACAACAACAACAACAACAACAACAACAACAACAACAACAACAACAACAACAACAACAACAACAACAA